CCTTTCCGGTCAGGTCATGACCTTGACCTGAGGTCAAATTTTTAAAGTTGACCTTTCAAGGTCAAGTTATAGTTCATTTGATGCGTCTTGACGAGAGGAACACGATGCTGGTAAAAGTAAGCTCGTAAAAGGCTTGGGTCAAAAGTTATTGCAGAAAAACTATTTCCGAAAAAAATTGGCTATTTTTGCAGTTTTTGCCCCCTGCAGGCAAAACCGTTGACGTTAGGTCAAATCTGAGAGAATTATTCAGAAAGGGCGTTAATAGTGCTATCGAATGCGCTTTTCCGCGGTGCTGTAGCTCTATTGGTTCCCGAGTTATGCGTTGGCTTCTTGGAAATTTTCGACATTCGACCTGGAAATCGGCGAAATTTTGCCTTCAATGACCTCTGGTGACCTGACCTTTGACCTGAACAAAAAATTGACCGAAGTGATTTCGTCATTATTTTTGACGCTCTTTCGAACGCCGCCTTCCGCGTATCGCTACGTGGCCCAGGAGCCGAGTTAGAAGGGGGGTGTTCAGACACCCCCCCCCCCCCCAGCAGGGCGTGGAAATCCAGAACCCCCAGCCGGGCGCGGGTTAAACCACAACCCTGGGTGAGACGACGGTAGCTATTACTGAGGACAGCTAACAAAGACAACGAAGCAGAAAGAGTGGAGTTAAAAAAACGAGAGAAGGAGAGAAAAAGAAAGGAAGGGGGCCGCCGTGGGGGATGGTGGGCGGGGGACGCGCTGTCCGCGGTCCATCTCCGCTCCCCGACGGCCTCTGCCGCAGACTGACGGCTGTCCCCTCCGTCCCGTTTCTCCCTCCCTACCCGTCTTAAACAACCTTTTTAAATTAAGGATAAAAATAAAGAGTTTTCCAAAAACGAGATGGCATTAAAAAAAAAATAGAACTGCATACTTATGAAAGAAGTTTTGAAGTTTTAAAGCAAAAATGGCGTGACGTGACAGCACTGAAACGTCATTAAAACAAACACCGACAGATGTAGCCGAAATTTCAGGGGACACGTCAGTTTAATGTATGATAAGGTAATGAAAGTTGTACGTAGGTGGCTAAGGCTTGATGCATTTAGAAGGCATTAGAAAAAAAACCGGAGGTGGCAGATTCTGCCCTCTTCCCAGCATTGCGCGGGCTTAGCCTCACAAGATATATGCTTTTTTTACAAACGGTATTTAGCTGCTACGACTCCTCTCACCGTTAGATATGTTTCGGGCATGCGGAGGCTCACAATTCACATATATTATCATGGTTCAGTGACCTGACCTGACATGAGAGCGCAGTCGGGCTTCAATAAATGTTCAGGCATATTATTATCTATAGTTATCTATCCCTAACGCGTTCCGAGCTATGGTGAAGAAAAAAAGCGGATGGTGACTGGTGTCCCTCTTCCTTACTTTGGCCGGGTAGGGATTGTGCAAAAGCTCTTTATTTATCAGTCCGCTTTTTACAGCAGCGTTCCTTGAGATTGACCAAATGGCACGGACAAGACGTCAATCTTTTTTAGAGTTAGAATGAGCCTTAACCCTCGCACGACCAGGCCATTTCTCATAACACGAACGACCAGGGGGGGGGGGGTTGTTACGACCCCCCCCTGGCGTTTCGAAACGGAAGGTCGTAGAGCTTAGCGGAAAAAACCAACGGATTGCTCTCAACGAGATCTCGCGATTGGTGGTATATTTTTTGGTCCTAGGTCAACATTTGACCTACTTTTGACCGGTCAAAGGTCAAATTTTCGGAAAATAGACTTTTTTCAACTTTCGGCGGCGATTGCGGCAAAACGGTGGAAGATATCGACTTGAAACCTTCACTATCGTGTTCCTTGATCAATTCTCTATCGTTTGGTATGTATTTTGTTTTCCTAGCTCTAAAAATGGCGCGTTGGGAGCGCCGGAAGTCGGCAAGGTCACAGTCGGCGGCAGAAATTCGAAAAATCAAAATTTAAATTTTTGAAATCTGATTGTATTTTTGGATTTGGGAGGTCCATTTGCTCCCTATAGAAGCTAATATTGCTGCATATTCCCATTGAGGTGACAAGAATTAGCAAAATAGTGGTTCGGGCGCTTTTCAAAAATAGTAGGGGAGAGCGGGGAGAGTTGTATCATGTCCAAGTTGTATCAGGGCGAATTGTGCCAAACTTATCCAATGGATGGCGCTCGCGACACGACCAGCCGACGAGGTTTTCCGGGCGCCATCTTTCCCTGTTCTGTCTTGTGGCTGAGTGGACGCGTCTCGAGGTGAGAGCCGATTTTATGTTTTTTTAATGTCATTCTAAAAAAATAAGTTACAAGAAAATGTGTGTTTTGGGCATTTAGATGTGCACGAATTTGAAAGATTTCCGTAGCGGTGGTGAGGGTAGGTTCTAAGGCTGCGTGAGTGAAAACGGATTTCTCCAGCTGTCCGCTGTTTTTTTAGCACGAGGATGTTTTTTTCCAAGATGGCGGCTAGGTACATGTTGTATCAGAGCCGGGTGGGGTATGTTGTAACATGTATGTATGCATGTATGTATGGGTATGTTGCTTTTGATCGCGAAAGCTAAGCCCTGGCTCGCGTTTGTAGGTAGCTAGTCAATGCTCGTTCCATTTCGGCACAATGTGTTGGCTTCTTTGCTCTTAACGGGCCACTTTTGCGTCTAGTCTGTTCATGTTTCGTTCAGATTGCATTGACCTAAGTTTGGTCTAATAAAGTGAAGCCTTTGAGCATACCTATACATTGTATTAACCCCATTTAATGTTGTTGTTATGTCCAAAACCAGTAGCAAGCACACTCCCTGAAACGTGAAATAGTGATACAAATTACCCCGCCATGTGATACAACTCACCCAAGCCATGGGGCAAGTTGTATCAAAAACATTGTTCTATTCGGCAGACCGTAGAAGAAAAACTGGTAGAGGTAGCGGAAAAGTTACTTTGCACAAAAAAGCAGAAGAATCAAGGAAGGGGATAGTATGGAAATAATGAGTTTATCACGGATAGTTACGAGGTTATGGGTCTCGGAGTAAAAACTGATACAACCCACCCCACTCTCCCCTACCGGACGCTGTTCCTCTTGTGATGTCATAGCTCCGTGACCTGACCTGACCCGGTCAAGTTTCTTATACCATATGATAGCCAATACTTGCCCCAACATGCATGGGAAGTTTCATCACGATCCATCAACCGATGTCCGTACCACCGGCAGGAAACCTCGGGCGTTGGCACTCAGTTTGTGAAAATCCGGCCGGAGGCTGTACCTCTTATGACGTCATAACTCCGTGACCTGACATGACCCGATCAATTTTTTTCGGCAAAAGATGCGCAAAGGTTGCCCCAGAGGGTATTGAAAATTTCAGCCCGCTACGACAAGCCGTTTAGCGTCCACTTCGAAAAAACCTCAGGGGGGGGGGGGGTTGATACAACCCCCCCCCCCCCTAGGCGTTCTAGGGTTAATGATTAGACATTGTTAATAAAAATGGAAATATATGAACAGTACAGCAATACAAATTCCTTTTGTTCTGAATGCTTGATCTGACCAATTTCAGCCCGCGAATCATAGGCACATCAATATTCAGCGCTTCTCGCCCAGCTTAAGTGTTAGCATACGTTTTTAGCTATTTTCATATAGCCACTTTCTGAATTACATATATAGATCGCCTGCTCCCGACGTTACGGGCCACACGTTGACGTTCGCACAATGAGAATTTGTAGCGGATTGCACTCTGACGGCCGCGCTGCACGCACATTCACACATTCACAAGTCCGAGGCTGCAGACCGATTTTTAACGCTGTTGGGAAGCATCCAATCATGAAAGCCATGATGTGCTCCGTTCTCCCATTGCAAAGCCGATATAAAACTGCGGAGGAAAACTCTAGGACGGGCTCCGACCAGTAATAGCTTGTCTGGACATTTGTATTTGTTTAAGTAGGAAATTTATCCAAAAGGCACATTGCCTTTGTGTAGCTAAGAGTTTTCCCTTTAAAAATATTTGCGTTGTGCATGTCATGGGAATGTACATATATGCGCTTACTTATCTGAAAAGTTTATTGCTGATCATTGTCTAACTTACTGACAAATAGGTATACCTATGTAGGTATGAGATGAAACAAAACTAAGTGCTTTTAGATAGATACGACTGGATATTTTATTGCATAGGCACTAAACACGTGTCGAACATATTAAGGAAATGGGTAACATCCGACGCCAATGAAAACATGCAGGCTCAGATACTATCGGTTTGACAAAACTCGAGCGGTCGGTGTGGTGTGGTCTACGCATCCGGCCACCACTAGGCGGCGCTGAACGGCGAGGGAAGGCAGACTGTGCCGCATTACACACGAGCTCAGCAGTACAGTCTACCCGGCAGTCTTGATGGGAAGGACAGGGTGGCAGTCGTTATGGGAAGGACAGAGTGACAGTCGTTACGGGAAGGACAGTCTACCGATGGAAAGGACAATTGTGTAGGTAATTCACATTTATAGCTATGCAAGTACCAACTACGCGCATGTATTGCCTCAGGACCTTTTGAGACACGCTTGGTGCCTGAGACCTAGCTTTGCTCTTAGTTGCGTGCTGTAGACCTGTAACGAGGACCTGCTGGGACGGTGGGAGTGACTGTCAAATTCAAACGCATTGGTGCTTCTGACGCATGACCAATGCGCCACTTATGACCAATACTTTGCTTGTCTTACACTATCCATTACCTAAATGTAATTGCAGTTTCCCCAGCCTATCACCTCCTCAGGACACAGACCCGCCGGCCAGCTGCAGCGTGTGGGTGACAGACGCCGAGCCCGGTCCTCCACTTTGAGCAGTGTCACGACCCGTCGCCGGCAGGGCGGCCGAGCTGACCGGAGGGCCGCCGCCGCTCCCCAGGGATCGATTTGAGCAGGCGGCGGCGGCGGCGGCGGCGGCGGCGTGGGTGGCGGCCGGTCGCTCTCGCGCCGCCCCCTCCGCCGATCTCGCACCGCCCCTATAAAGCGGCGAGCTGGGCCGCCGGGCGAGAACGCGTGGCGGGGCAGACGCGGCGCCAGTGGGCCGCCCGAGTGCGCTGAGGACGGCCGCACGGCGCACCAGCGCGCTAGGGCACAGCACGAGACAGGCGCGCGCGCACACGGGGCCGCCGGCCGAGACTGCCTCGGGCCGTGGCAGAGCGCGGCCGCGGCGGCATCACTGCTAAGGACCAGGTGAGGCCCGCACGGCTACCGGAGCACCAGGCACGCGGTGCCGCGCCGAGTTGGCGATGAGTTTGGACTTGGACTGGATTCTAAGATTTACACCAGGGAGGTCGTGTTAATTAAAACTGCATCCTCTTGAACAGATTCATGTGAACTGGTGAGTTTCCACAAGACATTTCCTGACCCAAAGTTCAGTGATCTAAACTGCTTAACCTGAATTATCAATCATATCCCTTTTTGAAGCAATGCGCATAAAATTGTATTTCCTTTAAAGAAAACAGAAATGTTCACCTCATAATATCATCCGATTTACGATGGTTAGCTGAAGCATATTTGACTAACATTTGGTACATATTTGGTGCAGATTTGGTCAAATTAGGTTCATTGTGTTTTTTTAGTTATTATCAGCAAGGGTTGCATTTATAATTGCTTATATACCTGATTGTTTTCAATATCAGACATCACGTTGAATAAAATCCCTGAAATAAATTCATTATATTACGACATTTGTTGTAAAAGAGATTTGGTGCAGATCTGGTCAAGTTTGGTGCAATCGACCAATACAAGCCGTAGTAAAAACGGCTTTTGTAATCCAGTGAATAAAATGCTAGATACATTTAATCGAATCGTATAAAACCTTTGGTTTTAAAAGATACTGCATCTAGAGCTCATCCTGAAGCTCACCCTGGAGTACATCGCCACACAGGCGTGATAGTTAGTTCACTTGCACCGGCGCGGTGGCTTTTGTATGTCTGTGTCAATTTATAACGTAATTGCAAATTTGACCATTCATAAACGATTTTGAGTTTTTTTTAGCACGAAATGGCTATTTCATCTGTTCCATGCACGATATTCGTGATCCCATTGTGTTTGCGAATTAGATTAGCTCCTCCAGAATAGCCTTTAAAATGTTTAGCCTGCAAAAAAGCGTTTATTTAAATCTGAGTAAAGCAATATTATTACAATTGTGTACAGCTTAATAGCTGCCCGGACATCTTCAATTGAAGGAAAGGTCAAGGAACGGCTTCCGTGTGTGACCGCTGTACCGATGGTTCAGATGGACGGGAAAAACGGCAAGCATAACCTCTCTTAAAGGGATTGTTGCATGGTCCGTTAGCTTTTCTCAGCAAACCACGGGTCAGGGTAGTCCAAGTAGGTACGCATGTTGCGGAGATTTGAGGTTTGCATTGAACTATCAGGCGAAACCAAGCAGCAGCAAGATAAAGACACAACAACTTTCATGTTGGTATATGTCCAGCAATTTTGCGTGGCTAACAAAATTTCATGGAAGTCACACAATATCCACTGCATTATGGGAGAAGACACGGTTAGGGTCTGACTTAGCAGTTCTGGTGTTGACCACGCAGTGCTGACTTCTCACGCGGTCCGTTCTAAACGGGGTGGGTTCAAGCTCGTTCGTTGCGGGGCTGATACATCCGTCCGTGTTTTCCTTTGCTACCCCTGCGGTTGCGCCTGCAAACCTGTAAATATGACCCAATCACTTGAATACAATTAAAGTTTCAATGCATGTACTGTGTGCGTGTATTCGTAATTATGAGTGATCTACACATGGCGTGGCGATTACTGCTCAAGCCAGTCTTACGTGCACCACTGCACCACTCTCATATTGTTTTGCGTCATCATTTGTTACTCTTCTTTACTTATCGTTATCGATCATTTCAAGGTGCTGCGATTGTATAATAAACATGCTGGAATGGAAACGTGTTAACTATACCTAACCAATATCCTTAGCTGGCTTATAATTTGTTAAAATTGTTTGAACCTCGTTTGTGTGAACTAAGCAATGAAGACCGTGAATCAAATGGAAAACAGCCGGCAGGTGAATAAAACAAAGAAAAGTGAGGCATATCAAAGGGGCCCATTTATTCATGGGCTGAATATGGCTGAATGGATCGCAGACTAGTTGCAATTAATCCTTCGAGGCAACATTGTACTCCAAAAAAGAACTAGATACCTAACAATAAAATTGAATTTCTTTAACTTATCGGACTAACGGTAGTTTAAAGAGCACGGTTACGCTTTGATTTAATTCCGGATTTACAGGGTGTCTCAAAAGTTCGTTGAAAGGTACCAGCCATGCTTTTTTGTCAATAATTCTGAATCAACAAGAAATTAACAGTCGAAATTTTGCATGGGCATTGGTGACAACCTTCCTCAAGCAGTCTCATTGTTTTCAAGTGCATTCGACCCTTCATGAGCTCACAAAAAGGGTTCACCTCTGACCATGGGTCAGGCACGAAAATGTAGGTTGCAAAGTCGGGTATGTTGTGAAACTCTCTGTTTCAGGAGTAATGGGACTTATGGGATATAGGAGTAATGGGATAATGGGATGGTTAAGTCGGAAATGACATATGGCTAAGTGTCGGCGAGGATGAGTGCAACATGATGATCATCTCATAAAAACGGTGGCTAAAATTTTTGAAGGACGAAACCATGCGAGACTAACGGCGTTTTGAACGACCCTCGCACGACAGCAGACTCGTGTTCCGGAAAGCAGCTGAAAATGCGGTCATAACTATTGAAAACTGGCAAGAAGCTCACAGACAGAGGCTACCCATTTTCAAAAAGTGCAGGTCATCGTAAAATAAAGACAAATTATAATTTAAAATTGTTTATAATATCTATAACGCTAATTTTTGGGGACAATAACACAAAAATCGTCAATGCTAAGGACACCTGACCCTCCAAAAGTGTCAGTTATTTTAAAATTTTATCTAACGAAGTTTCAAGAGGCAGATCTGCAGCGAATAATTTTCTTTTAAACACAAAATCCCGATAAAACCACACGATGGACAGGTTTGGGCCGTTTACAAAGCAGAACCTCTCCCGAGGAAAGCACTCCGCAACCGAGCGAAGGTCTTGGCATGGGGAATGACGAGCGCTTGGAATTTGCAAAATTTGCACAATGTGTCTGAGAAACAGACGTCCGACACATTCTGCTACCATATGATGCGAAAAATTTACTCCTGGCACTTCCCGTTTGTTCAGGACTGGGGTCGTTTTGAAAAGGAAAATGGCGCTTGGGATGTCGGCGCCAGTCATTCATGAAGGAGTTAGCGCCAGAGAATGCCTACAAAATACTTATGAATGGTGTCGATGAAAGCTGTCGGCTTTCAGGGAAAATCAGATGTTGCCGGGGAGCTAGTCAAAACTAAATCCGACGCAGAAACTGCAGGGGATTCCCCTGCAAGAGCTTGAAAGCTGGTAACCTTTTATCAGCCTCCGGCAGCTGACAGAGCAACAAAAATCGGTATGGGCAAATATTTTTGGAGATACAGCAAAGGGGTTGGTTTCCAACCTTCTTAATCAGTTGTCAAAGCATGCATATTTGTCTAGTGTACACACAGACACCAAAACCTTATACTTTTGGCCGGTTCTTATATGCTTTATTGGCATGGGAAATGTGTAAACGAGCTTTTGAGACACCCTGTATAGTAAGAGTTTTGCAGTTTATCGAAAAACAGACCAAAGAAACAAAGCTCTGGGCTGATCTCTGCATGACTTTTGAGATAAACGACCACAGCTTGATATAAGTAGATTATCGTGGTGAGAAACAAACCGGAGAGTAGATAGGTATCTCACTAGTTGTGTGTGCGCCTGGTTTGGCGTCGAACGGCGTTGTGAATTGCATTGTAAAAGCATAACGTTGTGCTTTTTTCAATGTCTTTGAAAGGGCCACGAATGACCAAATCATCGAAACTCATCTACGTTTTTCGCAGAAATCTTTGGCAACCATTCTGCTTATAAACCAAGAAACATAATGTAAACGTTCGAAATGACAATACAAATATAGCAGCAGTATGTACCACAGTCCACAGCACATTGTTTTACCTATCGTTATCTTCCCTTACCTGAAGTGAGAGCCGCAGGGGCATTTGTCAGGCCAGTTCCGACCGGGGCACCGGAGACAAGCGAGGCGGCCAGGCCACCGGTTGATTGTATTCGTACTCATACTTAATATTAATGAATTAATTCACTTCTCAATACCCAAAGACAGTTGTTATCCTTCGCGATTAATACTGCATCCCACTTTTGTCCGTTGAGTGCGGATACAGAGCTTGTCACCTTCATGAGAAAGGGATCCGTCAATGAACGTCTCGCAGTAAAGTGGATTGGACCTGGAACCACTCAACGGGGTTGGGACATCTTTTGGCTTTCCCCTTTTTCACTCTTTCTCTGTCTCTTTTTCTGTCTTTGTCTCTGCCTCTGCCTCTGTCTCTGTCTCTCTCTCCCTCTCCCTCTCCCTCTCCCTCTCCCTCTCCCTCTCCATCTCCCTCTCCCTCTCCCTCTCCCCTCCCTCTCCATCTTCTCTCTCTCTCTCTCTCTCTCTCTCTCTCTCTCTCTCTCTCTCTCTCTCTCTCTCTCTCTCTCTCTCTCTCTTTGTCTGTCTCTTTCATTTCTCCTTTCTTCTTTATCTCTCTCTTCGTTCTCTTGGGCTCTCTATTTATCTGATATGATACATTTCTAGACATCTGATTTATCTTTAGTTAGCATTTTGTTGGATAAAATGGAATGAGCTGAGAACGAACAATTGCCGAAAATTTAATTAACGTCTCGTCTAATTTTGCAATTATGATCGAATATGTCAGGCCCCGGCGGCAGCTAGCTGCTGTAGATGTTGTACCTACGTAATCTTGTAGAATAACTGACGACCACAAAACAGCAAAACTCATCCTCGTATTGACAATTGCTGACAACTCCACATCACTCATTGTGGCTATTCTGTGTCACAAGTCAAAAGATAAAACGATCAACGGGAAATATGGTTGAGGGGCAAAAACAGGCACACAGTCAAACAACACTCATACGTCAGAAAATGCTAACCCCGTCCACCCTCCCCACCCCTATTGCACACCACCGACTTGACTGCTCGCTTAAAGCGTGCCGGGTTCAGCTCCAATGTGCTCGCAGGCAGTTCGTTCAGGAGTGATGCGGCACGGTAGGTAAAAGACCGCTGGCCGGCGCACAGTGGCCCTTTTTCAGAATTA